TGGCGCGGGTATAGGAAGGTTAAAGTACATCATCACGATTATGAAGGACGATTATTGGGTTGCTTTCTAAAAAAGCAACATTGAGGAAAAGTATCAGTAACATCAACAGTTTATAGAGCTTTTAGTTCTGATTGCTGTTTAAAGAAAACGGTATAAAATTATAACAGTAAGTGAGTAAATTATGCCAACAACTTTAACATTGGCCAAGAAGACTTTTTATGATTATTTTCCATTCTGAATATCTTCGTCTTAACTTTGTCAAGTACTATGCATCTATTTTGCCTTGAAGTATAATATTAGAGCAATAATATTTGGATAATTAAACCTGAAAAAGTATAAAAATGATATAATTTAACAAAATAAATTCCCACGAATAGTTGTTCCCATTTCTTATTCATCGCATGTTTCAGCAATTTGCTTTCAAACATAATTTCTTGTACAATCCTTATATTTAAGATTTGTTTTGCTGGTGATTTATTGTTGGTGAAATTTAATTTTAAACCAAATGTGTACATTGTGCTATTTAAATCTAATAATGATTTAAAAAAATTATGTTACCTCAGCAACATATTTTTTAATTGATTCAGGCCCAACAATCAAAACAGCAAGCTGCCTGTCAGCCCCTCGTTTGGCAACCTTAGACAATTGTTCCACATGTATTGCCGAAACTGTTACGGCTGTGTCTTTGTGTAATTCCCTTAATAGTTAAAAAAAAAAGAAAAAAGAACGAAAATTAATTATATTAAATAATTTGAAATACTAAATACATATCTGTTTGCAAAAAAGTTTTCTTTGCAGCGTAAATTTCTCAAATTTGGTGCTCGAGCTCAAACCGATTTACGAATATCAATGCAGCTCTTCTTTATTCCTAGAATGCAAATATATCTACTAACGCTTGCATATCTTTTACAGTTTTGTTTGAATAAAACAGTTTGAAAAAATCTAATTTATTCTATATTATATATTCTATATCTATATCTATTCATATTATAAAATAGAGCCAAGGTATTAGGTCAAACGTCTAAAGTTTTGAGGGAATGAACTCAATTTACTGAACGGAATTGATCAAATATTTTAATTCGTTTTGAGTTTTTTTATAAAAAATTGTTATTTAACATCTATAAATCGTTGCAAGTATAACTCGGCCAACTCGGTACCAAGCAGTATGATACCTGTAGTTCAGGGAGTTCAAATATGTTCTCAAGTGAAAATGTCGAAGTCATTGCTGCAACATCCACACATAACTATTCGATATTTCTTGATATATTCTGCCCTCAGGGGGCCCGTACATCTCTTTCCAGAATACTATTATCAAAGATAATCCAATATTTTTAGAACGATATTATAAAATAAACAAAAAATAATTCGTTTTTATGCATATTTTTACATAATATTGCATATTGATTTGTAGTCTTGTGGGGATCAAGCAGGCAGGTGGAGAAAACAATTGGACTTGTCATATTTTCATATCATTAATTTTTATAATTAATAAATTTTATATATTTTTATACAAGTGGAGTTTATACTTTCATATTCATTACTACTCCCACATTGGTGACCCAGCCTAGACCTTGGGTCATGAATTGAATATTAGTTTTATACATTTATTAAATGAATTTAAAATAATGACAAAAAAAATAAAATAAGCAAAAAGAAAATGTCAACACTTGGCAATAATTTTGTAAGGTTTAATCATGGTTTAATCTTACATCTCCCAGCTAATATGATGTCTGGTCTACATTTTTTTTTGGAATCCCTGGACTAAATCTTTTACAAACAGCTTATAGGGCAAGTATAATTCTGAATAATTCTTATTGCTATTGAAACAAACAAAAGAAAAACTTTATATACTTACCAGCAAAGAGCCTGTATACGATGCAACTGCTCTGGTTGTGAGGTTCCTTGATTTCGGCGTTCATAAACAAATCGTATATCTCTCGATGCATAATGTCTTTGCAAGGCTGCTAATATTGCAGCAGTACGAATCCACTCCAGTATCATTTTTATTAATATTTCATAACAATAACTCAATTGCACGGTAATTATTTAGTACATTCAGTTACTAAGTATATAATATTGAAAGAACATCTTCATGTCTATTATTAAAACAATTGCCTCTTATGGAAATTTGAGTCTTAATTTCGATCGCTATTGAAGTCTAATTAAATAATAATCATCAAAAAAAATTATAAATTATTCATGCGAGTTTGAAATCAATCACAATTCAAAGCATTGGTGGATCACCTGTCACTAAAACATTTTAATTAACTCTGAGTTCAGAACTTCAGATTGATAATCAATACTAATTTTATAGCAAATATTTATTTTTTATTTATTTATTTATTTATTATAAATTACAAGTATCATTATAAAACAAACCATACTACATTTAAATGAAAAATCACAAACTTTTTATTAAATGAAATATAATTAAAACTAATAGTTTAATAACTTATCAAATATTGCTAATTGAATTATAAAATATATAAATTAGAAGTAACAAATTGAAAGTATGTCAGAAGAATGACCAAAAGCCGAAAGGTTAATTATTTTATGAATAAACAATTCTATACCACAACAGATCTATATACCACTTTCAATATTTATAGTTTTTTTTATAATTTTAACAGCCACAAAACGCAAAAAATCAGAAGTAATATGTGTCTAATTTAAATAAATTAGTATAGTCGGATTTTTATTACAGAGAAGATATGATTATTTATTAAATATTAACCATTTTTTGCAAAAACGCTATTTGCATCCTATTAACAAGGTTTTTCAATATAAGGTAAATATTATAAAAATAAACTAAGACGATTAGAATTATTTAAAATGATATTTACTAGCAATTGCTAGTAATACTAAATAATATTATTTGTGGAATATCAAATTTACTATTAAATTCAGCGTATTTCTAACTAATGCTTTCGCCACTAGTAAATTATAATACTGATAAAAAACAATATCCATCGCTAGTTGGTGGTGATATTAATAAAATGCACTTATTAAATGATATCATTTAATCTAGCAAAACATCGCAAGTTGCGTGAAATAGTAAATCCGACGATTCACATATGCCTCTTTATTATTTATGTGTGATTAAATTCATTTTTTAATCGTTGACACAATAGTTATAGAGCGATTTTAAATGCCTATGTTCAAAATTTGTTTGAACTAGTGATACATTGCATTGTGCCTTAAGGCAAATTGCTGAAACTTCCCGAAAATTCAAAGTTCTTCCCGAAACACTTACATATATAGATATTTTAAGATATGCCAAAATGTTCAGAAGCGTAAAGATATATAGAAAAATTATTTTCATTTTTTTGCGATTACTTACCCTACAAGAAGTTCGGTTTTTGAGAGAATTACAAACTGCTTAAACAATTATAATGATTTGAAATGAATTATAATAATTCTCATTACAATGATTAATACGAACTTTACAAAGAACCATAATATCAATTTTCAATTTTTACATGTATAATTATTTACGTTGCGTCCACTCCAAAGCATTTTTCCCCACGCCTGGTCAGGGCTTAGGCTGGATAGAATCACCTGGTTATGCACATACCTTTTTAAAATCATTTAGACAAACAAATTTATAAATTTTTACCTTATAGAACAAATTTTGTTTTAATGCATATACATCTTCTTCAATAAAGTGAACCTTACGGCTCGTCTGGCAGGTACTTGTGCAGGTTGAATTCGCCTGGCAATTTGATTTTTGAACTTCTCAATGAATATGTATAATCGCTAAAATATTGAAGCTCGCAAGAACAAGTTTATAGTTATCGTTTTTTTTTGCATTTTCAAATTTCTGCTGGTGTGCAGAATTTCTTACTTAGCATGCTATAGCATGCATTCTTTGCAGTATAAAAATGTCTACCTTTACAGGAACACCGGTATTTGAAAGGTTCAGTTTAGTCTTCCGCCTGTAATATTGTAATCATTAACTTCTTTTAGGATAAGTTATAGTAATCTCAAAAAAATCGAAAATGAAAATTTTTATATATCTTTACGTTTCAAAGGTTTCTGAATATTTTAGCACACCTTAAAAAATGGATGTATATGTGTAGGTATGTGTGTGTGTTTGTGTGTGTGTGCGGATACAAATTTTCGTCGACGATTTTGGGATCACCGATCAACCGATTTGAATAATTCAAAAAGCCTTCGATTCATATTGCTATGGAGACGTGCTGATTAATTTTTGGTGAAGGCAAGTCTAGCCATTCCGAAGATACGGGACAAAAAGTGCCAAAAACGGTAACTCAGTTTTTAAGAGAATGGAGCATCCGATTTTAATAATTCAAAAAACATGTTACTACTTAAGATGAAGATCTGATTAAATTTTTGGGAAGGCAGGTCCCAAGAGCAAAGGGTGCAGAAAATATAAATCAAGTTTTTGAGAGAACGGAGCATCCGATTTGAATGATCTGAAAAACATTCAATTAGTAATGATTGGGAGAAGAGCTTATTAGTTTTTGGCAAAGACAGGCCCAGACATTTTGAAGATGCAGATCTAAATATGCATAAAATGGCAGTTTTTGATAGAAATAAGCATCCGAATTGAATGATTCAAAAAACTTTCTGCTTGTGTTAACGATACAATTGCTTTTGGAAAAAAATTCATTTTATTTTTTTGTTTATATCGAAAATAATTCAGATTTTAATTTTAATTCTGGCTAAAGTTTCAAAGCTCCCTTATATACTTTAAATAAATATTATTGACTTTGTGATTCAGTTTATATAATTCTTATAAATGTTCGACAATGTTACAGTATTTATAATAATCTATTTGAAAACATTTAATATTCATCGAACATTTCGTTACGGTACGGGAAGTTCCAGCAATTTGCACAATGCCATACACCACTAGTTTATCTATGATTGTGTCCAATCCATTTATACTTGTTTATCTATGGTCCAATCGATTCGTTAAACGGCTGATTTGACAGCGAAGAAAAACGGTTTGTTGAGTCAACACGTCAACACCTCAGCATTGTGTTATGAAAGATATATATTTTAGGTTAGGAATATTAGTTTGCACGTGTTTGTCAATATAATTATTTAAATTTGGTTAAAAATGGGTAAAAATAATAGACATAAAAAGCTGTTAAAATCAGAACGTGCAAAAGTTAAACTTAAAGGAAAAACCTTACCAAAAGGAACAAATGTAACTAATACAACTTTCAAAGTACGGAAAATAATAATTGGAGAGCAGTTAAAAAATGTTGGAGTGAACAAAGTTGATATTGCCACGCAAATCAAAGTTAGTATTTGTATCATTATTTGTGAGCTTAATTTAATATTAATTAATCTATAAATAATTTATTATAGGATTGCTTGTCCAAGCTCCGACATCACAACCATAAAATTTGCATGGGATCATTAAATAATCTGAAATGTATTTTAACCAAATATTCTGTTGACATCATAGATAATCAATTTAGTCCAATTTTGAAAAATTTATCTAGTCTCTCGACAAATGAAGAAAAGGATGTACGAAGAGAATCGTTTACTGTGCTTCAAGCATTATTGAGACCTGTATGTGATGTCAATTCCAGTACTGATTCGTAATATTGGCTTAACAGCAATAATAGTCTGATCTGGTTTCGATTATATTTTATATTTAAATATACAAAACAAAGTAAATAATTTAAATAAGTAATGGTAATATTAATGGCAAAATCAATTAACCAGCAAAATGAAACTCACATTTTTTGTGATTTATAAATTGTTCTTTTCGATGATTAGAGATTTGACTCAATATTAAATCATATACATAAATAATAATTTATTTGAGTTTTTGGTGGAGTATTTTATTGGATGTTCAAAATACAACACTATTTTGTTTCACTTTTTGATGTTGTATTTATGCTTTAAATGCAATATCTCAATTTTAATTTCAATAAGACAATTGTAATCAATAACTTAAATTTGATTATTTTTTCAGATAGTTGACAAAGATAGCAGAGTGTTAATGCCATATTATGATGTATTATCTTCTTATTTATGTTGTGCAATGACACATATTGATCCAAGAATACAAAATGATTCCTTATTGTTTTTGGATGTATTATTGAAATTGGTTCCATCAATAGTAACCAATAACTATTCTAGGATAATGGATAATTTTTTAGACATGATATCTAAGTTACGCATTGAATCGAAATCTGAACGATCACTAACATTAAATTTAAATTCAAAAATTTCTACTATAAAATGGAGAGTAAATGTATTGCAAAAGCTGCAACTTATGTTACAAGTGTTAGTAGACTTCATGAGGAACAATAGTGGCATTGAAAAGTAAGTTTTATTATTTTGATATTGAATTTTTATTATAAATTGTTTATGCGGTTTAAAAATGCAATAGAAAGTTATATATATATATATATATATATATATATATATATATTGTTTAGATATTTTTTTCTGTTGATTAGAAATATCACTAATTTAGATTTTGCTTTTTATGTAAGTTTTTTTTTAAAAATCTACTGCTAATTTTTACTGAGTTTGCAAATGATAAGATGGCATAGTAAATTCAAAATAATATTATATATTACCACACTATCTTATATCATTATGAATTCAACTGTAATTGTTTATATCTTATTTCAAATTTTTTATACCATACTTACTTCATTTCAAACATAATTCAATTTTAGGGGAAATCAGGATATAGAAGTTACACAAAATTATTCATTCAGAGAAACACTACCTGTCTACTTAGGAGTTTATGATGATCACAATTTAAAAATAAATGGACTAGGACTTTTTTCTGGATCAAATAAAAACTTTAATGCATCTTTGACCCAAGAAAATGATTTTAAAAGTAAAATAGTAACATTGATGCCATTATTATTTGAAACATGGTTAGAAGTAAAATTAAACAGCATCAAAGGTTCTTCTGGTTGCTATATTTTAAATAATGAGAGCATGGCATTACTTACCTCCATTATGGAAATTATGATCTCTTTACGATTCTTTGTTCAAATTCAAGCAGATGAAGAAAATAGTAGTACCGATTGGTTTTACAAAAAATATAGAAAAGATTTTATTAACTATATAGTTGACGGATTTCCATATTCCGGAAATCGAAATTTGAGCAAAAATATTCCAGCTTCCAGATATAGTGATTGCTTGATTCAAAATATATACATCTGTTACATGTTTGTTCTTTTCTGTAAAGACTGTAATTTAAAACAAAAACATCAATATTCAACTATATTAAATTATGTTACTAGTAAGTATCATACATTTTATTGTTTGTAAATGTAGAATGTAGATTTTTATCCAATTTTGATTTTATAGATTCTTTATTCAAAATTTGTACTCGAAATGATGATTATAATACTTACCAAGTGTTAGAAGACATGTTGTTATGCATTTTTTTTGAAATGGGAGCAAAAAGCTACAAAAATGGAATATCTTTGGAAAGTTTATTGGATTCTCTCATTCAATTATTTTATGGTGAAATTAACACATATGTGAGAAAAATCATTTTTAAAATATTATGTAGGATATCACAAGACACAGAACTTCAACATTTGCATAAGTAAGCATGTACATAGTTTATAAAGAAATTGTTTCAAATAATTTCTTTTGTCCTAATTTTCATTTATGCATTTTTATTTTAGGTCTTCTAAATATTTGTCTTGGATACAAAGTTTACCTATAATGTTGTGCAATTTAAATCTTACTTTAGAAGAAGTTCAATTTCTAATCATGCTCTCAAGACATAATAATATAGAATTTTTAGAAAGTGTGCTATCGGAACTTCCTAGAATTTTAGGTGAGAATTTTAAAAATAACCTTTAGTTTGTAAAATTGCTAACCTTTATAAATGAAAGAAGAAATATGTTCTTATGTTGAATGTTATTTAATGTTTTGTCACATGCACATAATATGCTTTGTGATGGAATAATATTTTAACCTGAGTTTTTTTTTATTATCTGCCTATACTAAACTGTGTACTTCAAAATGTTAAAGATACTATATTTATAATATTCTTGTGATATGGACTTGTTAAATACCATCTTTTCAAATAATGGTAATTTTCATAGTGAATTCAGTTTACAGTTCTCATTGTGCATTCATTCTATATTTAGAAAAAAAAAGGTGAAATAGTTGTGTAAATATGATGAAACATATATAAATATAATTATTAATTTATATAAAAATTATTTTCAGATACAATAACACATTGTACAGATACACAATTTATTAGTACAGTCATAAACATTCTCTACTATGTACCTGGTTTAACAGCTAATGATATAAATCTTATTAAAAATGCTGTGGACAAATGTGATATACCGGCTGCAGACAAGAACTACATGAAAACAATATTAAGTGGATTTAACACATATTAAGATTTAAAATGATAAATCTATAACAAACAAAACATTTTTTAATATATTTAGAATAATTAAATGTGACTTGAATCATTTAGAAAGATTAGTAATTGCTCATGGTTTTGAAGAGACTGTAAAAAATTGAAAAGAATAATATATTTTCTAAAAGTGATAGAAAACAAATATTGTATATCATTCAAATAAAATGAACAAGATATAACATTTTTTTTCATAACACAAAATATTTGATGCATTTCTTCACAAGCAAAGTCGTCATATGAATAAATAAGATTACATTATATTTATTATTCTGTTTATATCAACTGTATATGACAAAATTGTATGTCGAAGTGTATGACAATAAAGACCCTAGCCATAAACAGTAATTGATTTTAATAAAATGAAATGCATAATATAATCATTATTATATTCATATGATAGACTCTCATAAATTGTTTGATGTAACTGCATTGTGGATTTGAAATACAAGTTTCAAATGAATATAAATATAATCATAACATATGAAATGTAGAAGTAAATGAAATACACTTTAAAATAGAAAGTGGTACTACGTCGCTTGGTTGCTATTAATATCAATTTATCATTTTTATTTTTATGGGTTATCTGTCAGATCTGACGAACTTACAGATGACGTTACAAATCTAAGTTTGCATGTGTTTGTGTTGTGTAGGAAAAGAAGACGATTGGATTTGACATTTGCAAAAGAAATATCAAAAGTATTCAGGATAATCAGAAATATCTCACTATTAAATGTAGTATTTCAGGAATATAAAGGCATTAAAATGACCGATGTAAATATAGACGTTTCTGGTGAAATGCAATCGCCTCCAGAACCAAAATCTGGATTTCCTAGGTGAGATTTGTGTCAAAATCCTTTCTATAAATTCATGTCATTGTTCTAGATTTTTAATATTTGAATTTATATATTGTAAACAATCTGTAATACTATTGAATTGTTGAAACCAATTAGTATTTAGAATATAAGAAAGTATTTAAAATTTGCCCACTACAAACAAATCAATAGTATGAATATGTAAACATAACAAAATGTATTTATACTGTTTTTCCAATTGCCCTAATACTATATAGAATATTGAGAGAATTGAAAAAGCTATACATTATAATTTATGTCAATTCTGGTTCTTCTGTGATTTAGATATAACATTCTAATATTAATATTATTACTTAGTTATATTTCTAAACATCTATTTAATACTTACATTAATTACTTATTTTAGTTTTTCGCAAATACAATCTCAGTTAGGACGAGTTCCAAATGTGACAGAATTCATTGCGCAGAGAAGACAAAATATTAGATCATGGAGTGAATTTGCTCAGACATCAAATTTTAAAGCTCCAGCTTCTTTGCCACGATTGAGCAAAAGAATAGTACGAAATATACAACATTTTCAAAGCAATTATTTGTTTGTCTTTATTGGTCTATTTCTTTATTGTCTGTAAGTATAATTTGTAGTTGCTGTTTATATATCATTTATCACTATGAAAGAATGAAATCTTTCATCTAGTTAAACAATTTTTTAACAAAAGATTCATCATATAGTAACAACATTCTAAGAATTATGTACTCTTCTCCATAACTTTTTTAAAGTTTATTGTATTTATTATTGATGAATTTTTATAATTTGATTATAAATTCATTTCTTTAGGATAACATCTCCTTTGTTGTTGTTGGTTCTGGCCGGAGTAGCATTTGCTTATTATAAAATCAAATCAGCAAATGTTCATATGTCAATAATGGGTCGAGAATTAACACCAACACAGCAATGTGTGGCTGTAGCAGCTGCCTCTTTACCTGTTCTATATATAGCAGGAGCTGGTGCTGCAGCTTTCTGGGTTATCGGTAATTTAAAAATTCTTTGTAAATCTTTGTTTAAATTTATTCTTTCATCATTTAGATTATTTTGTGATGCAGATATATATATATATATATATATATATATATATATATTTATAACTTGTCTAGAATCTAGAAGATAAGAATGCATCTCTGTGCATATAATCGACACATGGGTTTTGTGTACTGATTTGTTTCCCAAGAAGCATCAGACTCCAGCGTGTATATATATATATATATATATATATATATATATAAAGTTAAATATTTTGCAAAACTTTATAATTTTACAGTTTTTACAATTAATTTTAATTTTCAGGAGCGTCCATGTTTGTAATATCTCTTCATGCCGCTTTTTACAATATTGATGCAATAGTCACAGAGGATTCTGAAGATCAGTTTGCTTTACTAGAAGAAGTTTAAGTGCCTTTTTGTATATAGTAATACTGCATACATACTTAGCATATTAGAATATTATCTACTATTACATATCAATAATTCTTGAAGTACTTTGAATTACATTGAATGGAAAGAAGATTCCTTGCTGGGCGAGGGTTATTTTTAAATAAAAAATATATGAATTTTGATCTGCTAACTATAGCCTTTATATATGTTAAGTTTATATCAAGTTTATTCATACTATGAAATTATGTTTGCTGTTCGGCATTCAAGCAAATATATCTAACAACATGATATACTAAAAAAAATTCTGTTTTTTACTAGTTTCTCTGGCAAATTTAAATTGATTTTTGTAAATTAATTTTTAAAAGGTGGATATTAATTAACTTATTTACTGAATCTTTGAATCTTTTAGTATAACTAATATGTCCTTGATAAAGGTTCCAAGTTGTCACAGAACCAAGCGAGGTTTGCACATACAACTATGAAATGTATGAATTTATAGCAATGAATATTGGAGGTGCCAGTAATATAATAACATATATTAAATATAAATTTTTAAAAATTATTTTATCATTTTAATTATATGCAGAAATTTTACATTGTGATTAATGGCAAATATAAAACATATTTTTAATATAAAATATTTATAAATAAACTGTATTGAAACTTATTTTATTCCTGTTTTTGTTACAAAATTAGATATTATCATTATCCTCAAAATTTCATGCAGAGCCTTTTTAATTGTTTCTATAAAGAACATTATATAATAATATGATATATGAAAGTTTCGTAAATTCGTATTTAAATATTTAACGCTTTTTCGTCCATATCGACAATCGGCCAATAGGAATCGCTCTTCTATGATTGCATATGAGTTTTTGCAATGGAGTAGTGGATTCTGGCTGCCGATTGGTTGTTGTGTCAACAGGTGCTTTTTAAGCATCTCACCCGCCATAACGAGTACGATGTGAAAAATTTGTGATGCTAGTTTATGATGTTATAAAAAATAAGTTCTCAGTAAGTGATAAATATTTTTATGTTTTTGTTATTTTTGTAAGTGAACTAGAATCATGGATTGTGCACAAAAGTTAAATTTTGACAATTGTGATCGTTATTCCGCTTGGAATTCGACTTTAGTATCTGTTGAAAGTTGCTGCGAAATGAGTGACAGCTTTAATTCGTCTAGTGATTGTTTAAGTCCTCCTGCTGGCGGAATTAAAGCTAGAAAATTGGATTTTTCGGATAATGCAGATTCGACACCAGAAGAGCCTTCATCGGCTCCTTTCAGCCCCCCTTACAGACGAGTACGAGCCTTAAGGTAAATGATTTAATTGAAAAGTGACCTGTCTTGTCGCAAACACTATTAGATTTTGCTTTGAGCAAAATATACGGCTTATAAAGATTATGTCCGTAAAAATTCATTTTGTACAATGTTCTAATTAGATTGGTTTGTTTACAAATATGAATTTCAATATATTTTTTTCTAGCATTTGTATGTGTGTGTAATATTTTGGGTATACAACAAAATATTAAAGGTATTTTCAATGTAAGTGAATCTAATAGTTGCACTCCCATGGAATTAAAATTAATGCTTGACATCACAGATTTTATTTTAAAATTAAGACAGTAAAGGGTTTTAGTAGTACACTTATAAAGCTAGTATTATAAACAAAGGAGCTTCAAGGGATATTCGCTATCTAACAAAAATTATGATTCTTGTTTGAAGTGCTTATGTCTTAATTCTTATCATTACAGCTTACTATTTTGAAATACTTCTGACAATTATATATTTAGAGCACATCTTTGAGGTTTTTGTTTATGAAAATGTAACATATAATTTATCATAATACAATAGTTTTAAATCTTTTTTATTACAAACTTCCTGCTGACATATCTATATCTATTGATTATTCTTTTAGATTATTTGATAGTCCTGCAACGCCAAAGACATTACTTGAGAAATGTAGTAGCACTCCAGCACCAAGATGTCGAATTATTAATACAACAATCAATTCTGCAAATAAATCTATATTATCTAGTTCTAATACAGCAGAAAGACCTAGAGCTGTTGCTAGTAACTTCAAAAATGAACTTCGTCCTCATGCCAATGTTAATCCATTTACTCCCAATGGTAAGATTATGCTCAAATCTTAAACTAAAGCTTTAATTGAGATTTTTTGTTTATTTGCATGAACATATTTAAAACAAATATAATATATAATAATATAATTATTCTTAACTAATTCAAGTAAAATTATTAGATTGATATTGATAAATATATTTTGGTTGAATTTGTAAAAACTATTTTGAATATGTATAATTTTTACTGATGGTTTCATGCTCGACTAAATGCATGGCTTAATTCAGAAAAACTATTTTGTATATTTATAATTTATAATTCTTGTACTTGCAATTGAATATTTATGATGTCATAGATTTGCTCTAGCAATTGTAATTATATATTTTAGGTATGCTTATGCACTCAAAAAAACGAACAAGGTCAAAAAGATCATTGCATGGTTCACCTGTTTTAAAAGTTACACCGTTAGATTTAAATGCTGAAGATGTAAGTGATGAAGAATTTGAACAACCTCTAAAACGTGTAGCTCTACAAGTAAGTTTTTTTTTTTTTAATTAATAATCTAAAAATTCAATTACTGATTGAGTTTATATGCTAATAAACTTTTCAAATGATATTCTAATTTTAGAGTTGTTTCTTCATAATTTCTATATTTAAATATAAAATTAGTATTATATATGACTCAAAATTTTTAATTTTATTTAATTATTTTAATATTGACATGATTCGTGCAATAGGAATGACAAATTTAACATACCTAAATTCAATAGTCAGTAATAATTAATTGTACCTTGAGAAAGTATACGACTTTGCCTTTGAACTTTCTTTCAAGTAATTTAATGAAATATAATTGGGAACATATTTTATTTATCCTTAAAATTGATGACACATCAACCCATTGACAGGATGAATGTTTTAATTCTTTGTATAACATTTTAGGATAGCAATATATCGAGATACCACGAAGAGTTTTTGGAATTGGGAATATTAGGCACTGGTGAATTCGGGTCTGTTTATCGATGTCTAAACAGATTGGATGGATGTATTTATGCTGTGAAGAAAAGCATTAAACCAGTCGCTGGTAGTGCTAATGAGTAAGATTATTATATAATTGTTTATATAATTATACACACACACATCCATATATATATATATATATATATATATATATATATATATATATATATAGATATTTTTTTTTGAAACATATCTATATACAGTCAGCTTTGTTTAAAATTAATAGAAAACACTTCTTATTAACCTCATTTGGTTTTATCATTTACTATATATTTTTCAGATATTTTCATTTTTTTTTTTTAATTTATAGACAAACAGCTTTGAATGAAGTTTATGCTCACGCCGTTCTTGGCAAACATCAACATGTTGTAAGATACTATAGCGCATGGGCTGAAGATAATCGAATGGTTATTCAGAACGAGTACTGTAATGGTGGCAGTTTAGAAGATGTTATACGTGAACAGCCTTTGTCGGAAGCAGAACTTCGAACTTTATTACTTCATACAGCTGAAGGTTTAAGGTAATTCTTATTATAATACTGATGTTTTTGTATATTTCTAAACTCAATCAATACACTACTTATTTGGGGTTTATTGCATTAGTGACAATAAGTATGAAAAAAAAATTTAGTGTTGCAAAATTCTTTTGGAGGAATTTTATATTCTTTAGTTTGATGATTTATATATTATTATTATATAATATTTCTATAACCAATTGTAGGTATATACATTCAATGCAACTTGTACATATGGATATAAAACCAGGAAATATTTTTATATCAAAGGAACAACGTCTTTTACCCTTGAATTATGATTCAGCTGATGATGGTTTTGAAGAACTTGAAGAAGGCGCTGAAGAAGTTACATACAAAATCGGTTAGCATTCATATTTTAATTTTGTTTGATCCTATAATGGAAGCAATAATATTTAGCATTGCATGAAATTTCTACTCAAACTCTGGAAAATATTAGTATTTTTTCTTTTATTCTTAAGCAATATATTTTATTGAACATTATAGGTGATTTGGGTCATGTAACATCACTTGCAAATCCTCAAGTTGAAGAAGGAGACTGCAGATATTTGACGCGTGAGATTCTAAATGAAGATTTTAAGCATTTGACGAAATCAGATATTTTTGCTTTAGGTTAGTTGATAATAGTAAATTTATAATATATATATATATATATATATATATATATATATATATATATATATATATATATATATATATATCGAAATACCTACATAGCCGACATTTTATTTATTTATATATGTACAATGTGTGTTGAAACATTCATCATAAGCTGAAAAGTTCTAATAGGGTGATTGCTATAGTATTTTACAACATTTAATAGAGAGATTGACATAGTAAATGGATTAATAGTAAATAATATATATTATATATATAATGTTAAAATTTGCAGGATTGACTATTTACGAAGCTGGAGGGGGTGGTCCACTGCCTAAAAATGGACCTGAATGGCATGAAATAAGAGATGGTAAAATAAAAGATCTTCTGCAGTGCAGTAAGGATTTCAATAACTTGATTAGGGTAAATAATTTTAGAATGATGGTATTTATGTAATTTGCAATTATAGCTTAACATTCTAACTATGAATTTACAAATTTAGCTAATGATACATAAAGATCCTGAAATGAGACCATCTGCTGTGAATATTATTCAACATAGAGTATTGTGTCCTTTTGGAAATAAAACAAAAGCTCAACTAAGGAGAGAACTCAATGCAGAGAAGTTGAAGAATGAATTTTTGTCAAGGCAGCTTAAAGAAGCTGCGATGTGTCTTCAAACGATGGCTCCTGCAATCATGCACAATAAAGACAAAAAGACAAAAGGATTGAATAATTCAAGGCTCTTGAGATCGTCCGCTCTGAAATCTCTTGCTAATAACAATGAAAGAATTATTGGCAAGAAAGTAAATAGGTCTCACAGTACAACTAATTTTTAATATAAAAATCAGTTAATTTTGTGATATTCACTTCCATAATAATCTTTATATTTTTTCTAAATTATATTAGTCATTGAAATAAATATATTATACATGTTTGTAGCATTGTGACTAATGTTTCTGCCTATTTTAAAAATATGTTAGAAGTACGAATGCATGTTCACTAGCTATTTAACATGTTATTGGTCTCTCGGGTGGACCAATTCTTTCACACAGTAAATCTAACAAAAATTAAAAAATGGCTTTTTGGGGTTATTTTTGTGATATTACTTCATAAGAACAGAATTTTTGTGAGAATTATATTCAAAATGCTTTGAAAATTTATAAATATCTTACTACCTATAATATTTTTATCTAATGACATTATATTGAACTTTATTCATTGTAGCTGGAATGATATCGATATAACAGATTTATTTTTATTTGTGTTTAAGTTATTTTATACTGTGCCTTGTTTTAACAGTATTGTAGGCATTATTGTTTAAGTCACTAACATATTGCTGCTTGTATCTATGGTAGTACTTTTGAAAATAATTATATAAAATTGATTTTAAACTAATTCAAACTCATAAATGTTAACCAGTGAATTATAATGGATTGCTGCATTAACTTTGCAATAAATATTTTATTATAATTCAGTTATTAGTGCCAATAGAATTTTTGTTGCATTGTGTAATTCATAAGATATATTATTAATAAGTTTTTAAATGTGATATAAACCTAGCTTGAAAACCATTGCTCGAATTTAAAAATATTTTGGTATAACAATATTCATACTGAAGAATTTGTTTTACATGGACAATTTAAAATGTATTAAATTCACACGTTTTTAACTATGACTTGATTAATGTTTTCATTACTTTTTTGTATTTCCTCTTATGTCCATAAACAAAGTTGTTTTTAAGCTATATCAATTATATTTCTATATATTAAGACGATTTTGTTATAACATTTAGGTGTAAATATATGTATAACCAAAAATAAACAAATGAATTCTTTTTAAGTGATTGTTTAAATGTTTTGAATTAAGTTAAAGCACTCTGTTTCATTTATTAAATGTCATATAAATTGGAGATAATTTGCTTGTAAAGTCTTATTTGTTCGGATCAATAATAAATTAGATTTATTTGATGTAAATAGTAGATTCCGCAGTTGACAAGTAAGTCCTGTTATGGAATAAATAAAAGGATTACTTAAATAATTGCAAAAAATAGTATCTTTGTTAGACATATTAATTAGAAATTATTATTTTAAAAAATAAACTGTTAAATATCCAATATTTAGTTAAATTTTTAAAATATCGATAAATGATATCACCAATCATTTATCTAAAATTTTACTGTTTTATATCCTCCTAATGTGTTTCATTAAAAATTATTGTATATTATAATACATAATAATTTTTAAGGAAACACATTAGGGTAAGGGGTAAACATTAGTAAATATATTCACTATGTATTTGCTTATATAAAATAACTTATATATATATATATAAATAATATATAATAATTTTTATATATTTAGAAATATATATATATATATGTTGAGGCCATTGAGTATAAAGTGTACCATGAATAACTATATTTAATGGAATTATAATTCCATTGTAAATTGTACAACAAAGATTATAATCATAATAATCAAAATGCAAACAAAAATAAAAAAACAATTGTTTTTTAAGAAATCATAAAGGCCATGATTCGATAACGATATGTAGGATTTCAATTTAATGATCTCAAGCATTTTGATTGGTACAAATTAGCAAGCATAAGCATTTAAAATAAATTTTGCTGCCATTCAAAATTTTGAAATAAACAGTTAACTAAATTATTCCAAAGTTGGTCCTGGTTGACCATATTAGCCCATATTGCCCTGGTTTATGGTCCTTACCTTTACTCCCTTATCTATGATCCGGTCTACAGAACATAAAAATTTGCAACACATTTATTTCGTCAGTTTAATTATTTATGTTTTTCATCTTTTTATTTATAGTAGTTACTCTTCTTTTATCTATGGTAGTTACTACTAGTTACTACTAGTAGCGCGTCAATCGTTCCGAATGACAGATGAATCCGCGTACAGTGTTTATTTCATTTATTTCATCGACGTCTATGCATTCGTTTAAACGCGTATTTGAGCTCGGATTGCGTTTCTGATTCTATTGTTAATTGTCATTCTGTTCAAAATGGCTGTAGCAACGTCTTCGTCAAGCGTTAGTGAATATTTATCACATAAACAATCGTCCTCTGATAAGGCAATAGCGGCTGAGTGGGCACAATTAGAAGAATATTATAATAAAAAGTAATGTATTTTACATACACCACATTTTTTCCATACCGGTGTTGAATGTGACTTTGGTAAATTTTCATTACATTTCATTTTTTCACAGATTATGGCATCAACTAACATTGAAACTAGAACGATTTGTAAAAAATCCAGAGCTTTGCAAGGGGGAGAACTTAGTGCAAGTCTATCAAAATTTCATAACCTCGTTTGAAAATAAGTAATAACAATCATCAACCAGTGCAATATTATAAAAAATACTTTTTCATGTGTTTATGTAGTATATTTTTTTGTAGAATCAACCCTCTATCTCTAGTTGAGATTTTGGCTATAGTTTGGCAACAGATAGCTGATAAAAGAGAAGCTATAAGTTTTCTTCAAATTTTGATATCTTTCTATAAATATATGTTAACACAGTGTTGACCGTGTTCTATTGGGTCTAGTGGTTAATATTAATATTAGGAATAAAAATCAATGTCTTGAACCAACTAAACTAATTTTTAATATTTTGTTTCTAAAAATTAACTTATATTATTTTTATTAAAGTTATAACCCCATTTAAATTTAAAATAACTTGCTCTATTTGGTAAAAAATCATTTTAAAGTATTTATTTATTATAATTCATAAGCAAACAAGTGATTAAGGGTTAAGTTATAATATAATGATCTTCAATTGCAATACTAAATGTTGTAATTTATAATAGGTGCTTCGTGGTCAAATAGCATTAGAACATTTGGAAGATTATGTGACAACAAAGCAGATAATAACATCATTAAAAGATACATTAGAAGACTCGGGTAGTGTAACTTCAGTACATGGACGATATTACCAATTAGCCGCACAATATTATAGGTATATACAGAATATTTTGGAATTGAAGATAATAGCTCTTCAATTTTTTTTTTTTTATTTCATGGACTCATTATCATTTTGCTGATCAGCATAATATCCTTTATTGTGTATTATATTATCTAAATATAGCTCCACATTACTTGATGTTCTTGTTTACAATTATATTATACATTTATGTATTAACTATTTAAATTTTAACCATATTATGGCTTTATCAAATTTCGAATTCAAATTAAAAATATCTGTGGGCATCTTGGCCGATTATTGTGTTTAGAAATTAGGAAGTTCCTGCAATTGAACTTCAGGCACAATACAATATAAAATTTAATTTATATGAATATTTTTAGAGTTCAAGCTCAGCATGGAGATTATTATAGAGCGGCATTGCGATATCTAGGATGCATTGATATAAGCGAACTTTCTGCTGAAGAACAGCACAAACAGGCATACTTTTTAGGGCTTGCTGCTCTTCTTGGAGATGGTGTTTATAATCTAGGAGAATTGGTAAGAACATTGTTTTGTTGCATTATATAAATAGAGCTATAAATTATATAGTATATCTTTTTTGTTTTTATAGTTGGCCCACCCAATACTTCAATCTCTTAAAGATACAGAAAATTCTTGGATGATTGATCTTCTAAATGCCTTTAACAGAGGAGATATTGCAGTGTAAGTTTAGAGAATTTACTGGAAATAATAGTATTTATTTTATTATCTTTAGATACTAAAAATAAATCTAAAAACATAGGGTCAGTGATATAATTTATGTACTTAAAGATGTGACGTTGAATTTTTTTTTGTGAATGAATACTTTGCCAGGTTTTTTCCTATTGACTTACAAAACTGAATGTTTAACAAATATTGAAAATTTTCAATTAATGAAGTTCATTAAAGTTAATAAACTAGTTTTTCACAATAACTTTCATAAATCAAACTACATATTTATTCTATAAATACTTCACTTCTATAATTATCTCTTATAAAGCAATATTTTTGCAGATTACATAATTATCAGATCTTAAAATTACCTATGCAATTATTTTATTTATGAATCTAGATATGAAAACATGCGCCCAAAATGGACAAAAATCACCGACTTGGTAGTAAATGAAATAGCACTCAGGCAGAAAATTTCTCTTCTTTGTCTCATGGAGGTAGTAGCACTCAAATATTAATAATTGGTTAATTGTATTAGTTAAAATTAACTAAAGTTTGTGTAGATGACTTTCAAGAGGGCTGCTAACAACAGGCAGCTTAAATTTGAAGATATTGCCATGGAAACTAGATTACCTGTTGATGAAGTAGAATTTTTGGTCATGAAAGCATTAGCTCAAGGATTAGTTAAAGGCGCTATTGATCAGGTAAATAGAAATTCAATTCAAAATAATGTTAATAATAGGAGTATATGTATTCTTACATTTCATATAAATAATAACAAAATTGTCGCATTTTATTCATCAAAATAGAATTTGAATAAATATGCTTTTCTAATCAAAATATTTAAATCTTATCCAATATTTGAACGTATGTATAAGAAAGCCATCAAAAATTCTTATTTTTAATTTTTTTGATGAAATCATACTACATGGATTTAAACAATACTTTGCTTAGTAGTACATGTAGTACAATAAGTTTCCAAAAAAAAAAAACACATTGGTACCTCTGCATTTAATACATACTTTATATAATCCAATTGTGAGCTGTGAAGAAATATTAAAATAATTTGGTTCGTTTAGTTTGAAGATAATGTTATTTAAATAGAAATGGTATATAGCCCTAATATAGGTAACATATTGATTTGATTTTTTGTTTGTATTTGATTTCTTGTGTACACAAATAAATATTCAAAACTATTTATTATGGGTTATTAATTTTTTTAACAGGTTGCTGGTGTAGTGAATATGACATGGGTTCAACCTCGAGTTTTAGATAGAACACAAATTGGAGGTATGGCAATGAATTTGGAAAACTGGTGCACACAAGTAGAAGCTATGGAAAATCTAATAGAAGTGAAGGCATCTGAAATATTAACACTTTAAATTTCTGATTCCTATATTTCTGAAAAGTTTGCTTGAAATTTTATATGTTTAGGCTTATGTATAATTACATTATGAACAATCAATGTTTCCATATATTATTGCTTATAAAAATTTTAGACATGTATTTGTTCAATATTTTTATATTACAATTGTATTAATTACACACAAATATATAGACACATAATAAATTTATAAAGGAATTAAAATGCATAATATAGTATACTTTTTATGTTCTCCCTGTATTGTCCAATCAATTATAATAGATGATCTTTTATGGAACTATATACATTTATGGAATGACAGATTTAGATTCCATACTTCTTAAAGAAAATTACAATACTACATGGTGCAGTATTGCAACTGTAATAATCTTGCATAAAATATGCAGTTATAATTTATAGTAATGAATACAAATATATTACTATAAATTCACAAAATTAAATGCTGATTGTGAAGAAAATACAATTAAATATGCATACATACTCATATGTATATATATATAGTCTTGAATTTGTGTTTGTATTCTTAACATTAATTCCAAATAAGGTGATATTTGGATGTTATTTAGGAGTTTGCACCACAAACAATAAGTTTATATATATATATATATATATATATATATATATATATATATATATATATATGTTACAATTATAAATAATTTGTCAATTTTTAAAATGCATTATTTCCTGTTTTCCAGATACTATCGTTTTAATTTATATTGTTCATTTACATTCAATCACAATCATCTTCCATGCATTACAAAAAATGGTATGATGCTCATTTTCTAAATGTTTTCAGTTGACCTCACAGGTAGCTTAGAAACATATCCTGATCTTGTTTATTGGATGAGTCTGAAACGACTTGCTGACACATGTTTTGTTGAATAGAAGTGACATCACTTTGTGACGCTGCCATGTCTTTGGTTGTAAGAGCATCAGAACTGCTTGATCCGGAACTTAAGACCCTTTGCTCTAGATTTCCACAGCTGTATTGAATTGGCTGATATCCATGGGAAGGTGTGTAGTTGCCAGAATAAGGCATATACATAGGAGGATTTGAAGAGGTGTTACATCACTGATAATACTTTCACTTTCACCTAAATTCAATGCTGACATTTCATGGACCAAACTGGGGTCTCCTAAAACATAGTAACATTGTTCAGAAAGATGGTTTGTTGACTGTATGTCTTATATGACCCCTTCTGAGCATTAGTGATACATATTTCCTAGCATCTCGTCTATCATTCAAACTTGGACAGAGCAAGCACCCAATCTACAACATCTGCACCAATAAAGGCATGTGGAATTGTTATTTTTAACCACAAACGATCTCTTATCTCCAGACCGCTGTCTGGTCGTGACATTACTTTTACAACTTCTGACATATCCATATTAACATTTAATTGTGATTCTGGAGATTCAGATAATTCAGGAATAGTATTTTCATGACTTATCAAAGCAGCAGTGTGAGCCACCCATGCCCCAGGATCAATTGGACGCCAGGTTCTGTACGGGGTATTGTAAAATATCCTTTAGGCTGAGGGTCCCAACATTTGGCAACTACTAATTTATAGGTAGTACTGTTTTCTGAACAGCCTCTCGCAACACACGAACTGCTTCATCATTACTCATATTTTCGAAATTAATATCATTTACTTGAAGAATCATGTCACCTGGCTCAATACGACCATCTAATGCAACCGCACCTCCTTTCATAATGCTTCCTACATATATACCGCCATCACCTCCTGTGTTTGACTGCCCCACGATAGAAATTCCCAAAAAGTTAACAGTATCCATGTTTAAAGAAACTGTTATAATATTTAAGCTCATAGTGGAGTCAGTTATTGAAGAGTATGAGGAAGTTCGAGATAAGGTAGGGGGCCGTTTTCTTCTTCTTTGCGTTTGTCTCTTTCTGGATAATTGTAATCGACTAACACTTGAGCACTCAGTCATATCCCTATCCAAAGTTATTTCACTTTCAGTGTCAACAAGACTAGTGCATCTAAATCACTGGACATGACCGAAGCCGCTCTATAGCAAAGAGCACCAGTTGGCTTTCGGTTGAAACCAACCCGATCTCTGCCCATTACAGAATCAGTCTCACTTGCTGGCACCTCTGAATTATTATCACTCTGGTTTGATCCCTCAGCTGTGACTAACCAGCTGACCACCCTTCCATTAAAACAAGGTAAAGGCGCCGCATCATCGGCAATCTCCTCTTTAACGACACCAAAATCATCGTCAACTGACTTAAAAAAAATTTATAGTTTGGTTTGTTAAGAACTTGTGAAGTCGAGCAGAGTAACTTTGTCAGGCCCAATAGGAATTTTACTAGGTAGGGAGTCTGTTCTTCATCTATGTGGTAGATGACTTTTGTTTCATTCATTTTTGACAGGCCACTACGCACGCAAGGCGTATTAAACCAAATAGTTTTATTATATATAAAACATGATAATTTTGTTATATTAGTTCACTCATAAATGTTTTCCCTATGGAGTAAATATTATTATAAATAATACATAAAACAACATAAATTTATTTATATTTCTTGCCCCACCAAGAATGGACAACCACAAACACTAATATTTCATAATAAGAGACATGACGTTTGGCATTAATTTTACGACAAATTCAATATTGACGCGAAGTTAGTAACACTTTCAATTTCGAAATATTCGGCGGCTGTAGATGGCGTTCAAAAATGTCTTAAAATTAATATCTTAAAAAATATCTGAAAATTTTAAAAAATTCAAAATTGATTAGAAAATCTTAAAAAGAATAAATTGGTTAGAAATGATGGACTTTTTATTATCATTGAGTCTAGGTACTGTTTTAAATGTTTTATGTGACTTTTATTTTTCAATTTAGTACAAGTTGTTATTTAGAATAAATCAGTTTGATTGTTAGATCATGTTTAGATGTTTAGATGTTTGTTATCATCAGCTTGCATACGCTTCTTTTATCTATGCTTGCATCCACTACTCTTCTTTTATCTATGCTTGCATCTGTGTATCTATGCAGATCTTTTACTCTTTTATCTATGCTTCTGTGTATTGAATTTTCTGATACTTATAATTTTGTTCTCTTTGGAATTTATCCACTGAGCTTGTTGCGTGCTTGTTGGTTCTAAAAAGACAGAACGCATGGTGCATCATGGCAGTTGCTAATTTAGAGGTTAAAAAAAATCAACCTACGTTGAAAAAACTATCTAAAAAGGGTGCCAAAAAATCTAATAAAATAATGCGGACGTCTTGTTATTAGAACAAGAATTAAATTTGCTAAAGTTCTTGCGGGCAATGATAAAAAACTACGTGACAGAGTATTAAAAAATTTAAGAAAATGGTTAGGTTATCGATCACAGAGTTCATTTCGTAAGTTTTATTTGTGAAATATCGTTAAAAATAAGTGTAATATATATTTGAACATCTAATTAGTTAACGATTATAACAAATACAAATATAAAGCTAACTTCAGCACTTGCTAAAACATTAAACAGGTTTTATTAATTTCTTCGCTGTGATAAAATTGTTCCATACACAAATTTAAAGATACAAGAACGCTACTAATTGATATGATCATAATATTATAATGTGTAATTACAGGTTTCAAAGAAGAAGATTTTATGAGGATCTGGAAAGGTTTATTTTATTGCATGTGGATGTCAGATAAACCTCTTATACAAGTTTGTTTCTTAATATAGTGAGCCACCATTTAAGAATGTTAAATTTAATTAATTTTTTATTTTGTAGGAAGAACTCGCAGATAATATTAGTACACTAATTCACAGTTTCACAAATATTAATGATGCTATTTTGTTTTTCGATTGCTATTTAAAAACCATGGTTCGTGAATGGTTTGGAATTGACATGCATCGCTTGAATAAATTTATGATGGTAAGATACTATATTATAGTGCATATGCCAATTTATAAAGTATCAAATTATATAATTTCAGTAAGAATAAATAATAGGAAGTGTTGGATTGGATATTAAATAGTTGGTAAATATTTTTATCATGAAACCATTAATTGTAAACACAGTTTGCAATTGGAGTATGTTTTATTGCATCTTAAATTAATCTGGATTATGAAAGTTGTAATAAACTGCATATATGATTTATTTTTTAAAAAATCCAAGTAGTTTTACTGCAAGATTGTTTGTAATTTATATGGCATACATTTTTCATTTTATTCTTTCATTTTACCAATTCTTCTTAATTAGGATACAGCTATTTAATACATAATACTTTTAAAAAAAGAATTCATACGTGTATGCAGTATTAATTCAGAAAGTTTGCATATGAGTTTTATGAATTTTTATACGATTTCATCATTAGTTTTCAATTACTTGTTGCATCTGAAAATACTTGCAGTTTGTGAGAAGAATGCTTCGACAATTTTTAGTTGCTGTAGATCACCATAAATGGAAAGCAGAGATACTAGAAGAGTTTGAATCTGTTTTGACAAAAACATTATTTCAACAAAATAATGCTATGGGTTTAGTGTTACATTTTATTGAAATTTTCATGGAAGAGCTTGCAAAGGTATTAATTTTAGTATAAAAATTTCTTAGTATAACAATTTCAGTTGAATATTTCATTCATGGTAATAATTTGCTATGGAGTCTCAAAGTTGTTTTGTTGCCTAAATCACAAATCTTAGGTTTATCAAAATATTATGCTACTTAAAATTAAATATATGAACTTGG